GGGGGGGGGGGGGGGGGGGGGGGGGGGGGGGGGGGGGGGGGGGGGGGGGGGGGGGGGGGGGGGGGGGGGGGTGCACACTGCCTCAGACCTGTAGGTCGTCTTCCACATCCTGGTGCTCTCCGCCTTCCTTGACTAATTGCTCGAACGCCTTGGGAGCAATGTCGGCCGCTGCTACCGCCATTGCTGTCTGCCGTAGATATCGTAGGGCGGGGGGTTGCTGCTACCACCGAAAAACACTCTTTCGTGGAGCCCGTTCCTGAAACTGATTACTTCAATGAGCGCGAGCACAGCAGTGTTGTCACAGGTCTTCGGTTCTCAGCCTCTCTTCAACGTTCTCTCTCCCTATCTCTCTCTCTCTCTCTCTCTCTCTCCAACAGAGACGCGTCCCGCTGGTGCAGTCGTACTAGGGGGGCACAACCGACAAATGAAACCACATGAGTAGCTGCAAGAGCTGTAACAGAGATATTGCGGAGCTCCATATACTACTTAGAAGGCGTTCTTCAGGAACACAGATCTCCTCCCCGGTGGCCGTGGGCCGAAAAACTCCTTTCGACCACCTCTCTCTCTCTCCACACTCGCCGAACGAAGTAGTTTGCGTGTGTGGGGTGCTTCGCGTAACTAAAGCGGGAGCGGAGCGAAGCGCACGCACGGATTAGGCCGCGAGAGGTTCAGGGGGGCAAGGATAATTCCACGCTCACGCTCGGCCGCGCTTGGGTAGCGAGCTCCCTCTTGGACGAAAAGGCAAAGGAAGGAGAGAGAGAGAGAGAGAGAGAGAGAGAGAGAGAGAGAGGCACAGAGAGAAAGGGGGCGGCCCGCCGCGCGCTCTGGTTCGGAGTTCACAGCTCCTTGTTTCCTCTAAGGTAAGAGATGAGTGCGAGGCAAATACAGGCAGTGCACCGGGGGAATGGGTGGAGGGACGGGTGTTTATGTGAAGCGTTGGGTCTTGTGTGCCGCCGCCGGCGCTTCCCTGCAGAGGTGGCAGCGTAGTGTCTGTCCCGTTTTCCGAGGGACCCAAACACACAATCACGCCCTGGTGGTTTTCTCTTGCGTAGTCGTCTCGGGTATTGTTGGATTTCCTCCGGCCCGCATGTGGGGGTGCGTGCCCCCTCTTGCTATTGATGCAGCACGAAGGGTAGCGTTGCGTGCCGCATGATGCTGTTGCTAGTGTCGCTTCTTTCACACGACCGCCCCCCCGCAAAGACAACTCGTTGTTCTTTGGGCTAATTCTGCGCACCGAAAAACGGCCTCTCTACACACCCAGAAACACCCGAGGAGAAAGGAAAAAAAAAAACGAACACACCGGTCGCGGCCGACACTCACAGCAGCAGTAGGAAAATGTGCGAAGTTCTTACAACGATTCGCGGCGCGTTGTGGGTCACGGTGCTCGGCAGAAAAAAAGCTACGGGCCCGCCTAGTGTGAGGCCGCACTCTTGCCCTTACAAGAAAGGCGTCACGGCATGCTGCTTTGTGCGCGGAGTGATCATTCGCCCGACCGGAGGCGGCTGCACTGCCCCGCAGATCGATGCGAAGCACCTTTTTTTCTTTCTTTTCCCCTATCTCGTCCTGGATCGCGATTTTTTGTTGACGTTCTCGTGATCATTCCGCGATTATGTTGTCTATCGTTGTTAATTGTTCGTGGGGTCAATATATTGTCTTTACTGCTGCTCTGCATGTGCTCCTGGAACCTCGGGGCTTACTGGTGTATTCATCATTGATTAGGGGTGCTCTATTGATAGCTTGTTGGAAGCTACTGCTGTACGGGACGAAACTTCGCAACAAATAATCCAATCGGCATGTTTGTTTTTTACACTATAATGTTGTCATGGGGCTGTGCCTCCTCACATGTTTTGACGTGTTTGACACTGGACGGACCGCGTGACGATACCAATGTAGTAGTTTTGATGGCGCTCGTTGGGACACACGATCGCGTTGGTACGTGCCAAAACATTCCTTGCGACCCCACACCGCAGGCAGCAGCGGAACAAAAGACTTGGCCCACCGCGCGAAGGCACGCGCGTTTCCTTTCTTTCGTGTGTTGCTGTCCATCACCGCGACAGCAGCAATTGATGTCAACGCTGTAGTATATGTCGCTTACGATAGTACACACTTGCTGTTGTGTTATAATTTCACCTCAACGAACCTAGTCGTTGCGTGTGGGATATGCCTTAACTGCCGTCCTTCCACTGCAAACTCCCCGTGTGTCGATGGGAACACGACGAGATGCACACGCGGAAGAAACGGGATACGGCAGTGCGTAGTGCTTCCCTTTTTGTTTTTTGCTGTCTGCGTTTTGGTGTCGCTTGTTGTCCCGACACATGACACATGGCAGGCGGAGAGGAGCGGTCAATTCCATGCTACGAGCGTATCGTGTGGCCGAACACTCCGAGTCTCTTGCACTCACCGTTAGACGTTGTATGGGTACCTTCGCAGCATGAAAAAGCTTTCGTTTACCCCCACCATGAGAGGTAGACGGCCCTGGTTTGTATTTACACTTGCCCGATATGCGGGGAGCGGTTTGATCGGACCTCTCGGAGCAGTCCCTTTGGCATCAGTGTACCGCGAGTTGTGTATGATTCGCGTAAAGTTTTTCAAAGAGTCAGGACAGACAACAGTCGAACCGTTGGACAGGCACTGCTGCTATTAGTACGTTAACAACCATGGCACACATCACAGCAGCACCGGCAGCATGTATTCCATGCGAACACATCATAACTCCGCGCTCTGCCGCTCGACATGTATCCCTCCCCCCCTCTCCCCTCGTGTCATCGTTTATCGAGCCCCCGGACCGATGGTTGTTTTTGTTACATTCAAAATCGTTCCGATCTCTCTCTACCCAGTGCCTTCGTATGTCTACGGATCCAACACTCGACGCGGTCGATTCTCGTGGTCACAGGTTAACTTACCCTAAAGGTACACTCAAATAAAATGGTCCCGAGGGGTCCGCAAGTCAATAGAAATCAACGACAAATATTTAACGACAAAGACTGCGGGTTGACTGCGAGTTGTTGCAGCGGTCGGCCAGAGCGCGCGAAATGCGAAAAGAGGACAGTAATCGTGGAAGAGGGCGCTGTAATTTTTTCAAGACACGATCTCACTTCAGGGGCAACACGGTTGCTTATGCGTCTTCTTCTGGACGAAAACCAAGTACAAGTTTGACGATGGGTCATGAAGGCCTGACCAGTGTATATGTAACTTGGAGCCCTTGGCTTCGACCTGTCTACGGGAAGAGGGCGAACAGACCGCACCCGCTGCCCGGCGTCCCTCCCGCTCTCCTCTTTGGCCCTTCCTGTTCTACCGCTCCTCGCAACAAGCTGGATCTAGATATTGTCCTTGGGGGCTGCAACACCGTTCGACACCGTGGGGGACTACGTATCCTCCTCGTCTTCTCTTTGGTCCTTGTCTGTGGAGCCGTAATCTTAAGCAATCACTGGCGATGCCTGAACCGCTACTCTTGGACTCGCAATCCTTTTCCTGGTCGGAGCGACCGCTGAGTTACGTAGCGGAGGTTGTGCTCCTCTGCTGCCGCCGCTTGCAATGCCACGCGCACTGGAGGCACGCTGCTGAACGCCTTCGCTAGGCATGCCATCTCGTCCAAAGTCACGCTCGGAGCAAGGTCTCTTGAGATACTCCCTTTCCGGCCTTCCCATCTCTGGTGGCATTCGCCTTGCTCCCATGACAAGTGTTCGCCATATGGGCAAGTTAATATTTCTAGTCCGGGTCATGCACGTTGCAGCGAGGGTCAAACGGCCACATAGGATCGTCGATCTGATTGCCGCGTTACCCTGCCTTGTACACCCCCGCACTATTATTATCAACTCTCCCATTCGGCGACATATGTCATCGGAGGAAGCGAAAGCAGCAACAGACGGGCAGGGCGGGAAGTAGATTTATCAAGAGGCGGTGCGCCTGGGGCCGAAACGAACATGAGACTGGCCTCCTGCCCCAAGTTTCTGAGCATCAGGGCAAGCGGCTGCAGCATGGTGGGGGTGGGGTGCAACCTCCGCCAGACGTTCCGCTGCAGCCGGGAAGGGATCGCGAGTTTCAGGGCTGACGATTCAGGCGTCATGACAACGTTCCGGTCCTCAAGCCCAGGACAACGGACGGGAGGAAAAGGAGTATTCCCGCGGGGTGTGACGGTGTTGCCGCCCCAAAACGATACGGAAACCCAAGCGTGCGAGAAGGGGCACGGCAGACGGCAGCCACGGCCGAGAGGAACAGCGGGAGAGACCCCGGGAAGCTGGTGGTACGGTCTTGTTGACCCTCTTCTCCGCCTCGTCGCGACGGCTACTTGGGCATTGCCCACTCGGCTTCGTCTTGGGGAGGCAGATGAAGGAACACCCGGCCCCTCGAAACGGTTTGGGGGTTGGCAGACAGGAGAAGGGCTGTCGGGCATACGGGCGGGTCTGGAACCGGAGACCCGGGGGACATACCTACCGCGCAGAGGGCGCGCCGAAGAATCACGCATATTTTTCTATGCCCTGGTCAATATAGGCCCGCGCTCTCCTCTGTCGTCTTGCTCGGGGTGCCCCCGCTGTTGAAGTTAGTTGCAAAGACCTGGTGTATGGCCGAGGTACCACTTTATTTATGCGCTATCTACTTGGGCTGCTCTGCTCAACCGCCGGAGCGTACGAGAAATCCCACAGCAACGGTTACAGCAGTCCCTGAAGCGCATTCATTCATGCACCACAGTGTCTTACGTCTGTCAACTCACAACGTCCAATGAATATTTGACGTTGTTGACTTTTGACACGTTGATGTAGGGCACGAGGCGGGCGTACCAGATATTTTCGTTTCTGAAGTGGAAACGGCTTTGCGCGGAACTAGAGGGTCGACAACATGAAATAAGTGGAATCCACCGCGCACAATCCCACTTTTACTCCATGCCTAACTCGGGGGTTGATGGAGAGCCGTCTTTCATCAGGGCATGTTCCGTATGTAAACCATTGGAGACTCAGGTTTCCTGTACTACCATATGAATATTTTACGGTTACGTCATTTGGAAAGAGGCTAGAGAAAGAAACGGCGTTCTCCGCTCTTCGTCTGCATTGAACCTCGACGTTTGAGCGTCGTCACGCTGCTTTGGGGTGTTTGTTTCCCTTGGACAGGGTGGGTATCCTAGCCGGCTTCCCCGTGATCGTTCGGATCCATAAATGCGCGGGGGGGGTGCGATGTCGTTGGTTTTGGCCCTCGCCACAGATATCGCCATCGGAAAGAATCGCCTTGCTTGTTCACGACGTCAGTCCATGAACTAACAGTGTGATTCATCAATACAATGACAGCGAATGCTGTCAATAGTGTTAACCATGGGACTCCGCCTGACGTCTGTGCGGGAAGTCAGTGATGATTCGTTTCTCATTTT